AAATCAATTTATTTAAGCCCTCAGCAATCAAATAACACCAACCAGAGCATGATTTAGTGACTGGGAGAGATGAGATGGGATAAGGAGTGTTAGTGTGAAGAGAGCAGGATCATGTTAATCAGGAACCAGGAAAGTTGTCTTCATGTTGTTGATCTTGAGTCCATGGAGATGAGGACATGTCTGGTCTCTGTGACTCTTTCTGCAGGTGAAAAAAACAGAACCAAATGTTTAGTAGAGTTGACTGTGTGACTTTTGACTGAGGTGAGCTTCAGGCAGTAGGCTGTCCAGGAAATAGGGAATTGGTAGCTGATTCAATATCCAATTCCAGGTGGACCTCAACACTCCACATCTCTGTGATGGCAGGTTCCCTGTGGAGTTGTCCCCAGGATGTACATATGGTTGGAGATTTCCCACTGGGGATTGATTCTATGAGTAATGATTTCACAATGCATGTACATGGTGGTGCTTCATCTAAAGATGATTTTCAGACTCTGTAATTGGAGCAGACAATTCTAACCCTGCAACTTTTGTCTTTTGCATTAATTTCAGGTGTACAGCCAAGTGATTATACATACAATAGTTAGTATCTTTTCTTTTTCAGACTCTTTTCCCATTTAAGTTTTACAGAGTATTGCATATAGTCCACCGTGCTATGAAGTTGGACCTTGTTCTCTATCCTTGCTGTATATAACAATTTGCATCTACTAACCTCAAACTTCTCAGATAGTAAGGATATGCCTGTGATTCAGGGGACCCAGGTTTGATCCCTGTGTTGGTAAGATCCTCTATAGAAGGGAATGGACCCACGCCAGGATTTTTGCCTGGAGAATCCCAGGCAACCATATGGACAGAGGAGATTGGAGGGCTATGTTCCATGGTGTTGCTGAGAGTCCAACATGACTGAGCAAGGAACCTTTCTTTCACTTTCGCTTTTCAACTACAAACCTCCCAATCCTTCTCTTCCCAGCCCCTTCCACTTGGCAACCACAGGTCTGTTCTCCACCTCTGTGCATCTGTTTTTGTTTTGTAAATAAGTCCCTCCATGTCATGTTTTGATTCTATGCAAAAATGATATATATGTGAAAGTCAAAGTCACTCTGTCACGTCTGACTCTCTGTGACCCTGTGGACTGTAGCCCAAAATGTGCTTCTGTCTTGGAGATGCTCCAGGCAAGAATACTGGAGTGTGTTGCCATTTCCCTCTCCAGGGGATCATCCCAACCCAGGGGATCAAATGCGCGTCTCCTGCATTGTTGGCAGATTCATTACCATCTGAATAAACCATGGCTTTTATCTCCACTGAAGTGAGAAGTGGACTATAAGGAAAGCTGAGCACCGAAGAATTAATGCCTTTGAACTGTGGTGTTGAGAAAGACCCTTGATACCTTGATAGGCCCTTGGACTGCAAGGAGATCCAACCAGTCCATCCTAAAGGAAATCAGTCCTGAATATTCATTGGAAGAACTGATGCTGAAGTTGAAACTCCATTATGTTGGCCACCTGATGCAAAGAGATGACTCATTTGAAAAGACCCTGATGCTGGGAATGATTGAAGGTGGGAGAAGAAGGGATCGACAGAGGATGAGATGGTTGGATGTCATCACTGACTCAATGGACATGAATTTGAGCAAGGTCTGGGAGTTCATGATGGACAGGGAAACCTGACATACTGCAGTCCATGGGGTCACAAAGAGTCAGATATGACTGAAAGACTGAACTGAACTGCAAACTACAAGTGACATTTATGGTATTTGTCTTTCTCTTTCTGACATATTTCACTCAGTGTGACAAATCTCTAGGTCCATCCATGTTGCTGTAAATGGAGTTATTTGCTTCTTCTCATAGCTGAGTAATGTTCCATTGAATATACATACCACTTCTTTGTTATCATATTCACCTGAAAGTTAGTGCCTTTAGTCATTTTTTTTTTCCTTAAGTTTCTTTCTTGGCAGAACATTAAAAGCCATACTTTAGCCTAGATCAGTGCCGTTCCCTGAGGTTGTCTTATTTTAGAAGGTTCAAACGTCTTACTTTTGGAACATCTTCTGAGTAGGAATATAAAGCAAATGCAGGTTTCAGAGAATGCAGTTGGAAGGCCTTTACTGGTTCTGTCAGAATCATATGAGATTAAACACTGGTCTTGCAGAAAGCGTGAAAGTGAAAGTCACTCAGTCATGTCCAACTCTTTGCAATCCCTTGGACCATGACAGTGCATGGAATTCTCTAGGCCAGAATACTGGAGAAGCTTTTCCCTTTTCCAAGGCATCTTCCCAACTCAGGAATCAATCCCAGGTCTCCCCAGCTGAGCCACAAGGGAAGCCCAAGAATACTGGAGTGGGTAGCCTATCTGTTCTCCAGCAGATTTTCCCAACCCAGGAATTGAATTGGGTTCTCTTACATTCCAGGCAGATTCTATACAAACTGAGTTATCAGGGAAGCCCAGGGCTCTCTTTAATACTGATTCTCCTGGAGGAGATATGTGTGGAGATAACCACGAGGTCTGGACTGACAATTAACACGTGGTTAACAGTTTCCACCAACTCATGTGGATTCCTGCTTCTCCCTGATGATTTTGGTCTGCAAGATTCCTGCAGGACAAGACTCTCACCACAGCTGCTCAGCATTAATCAAGAAAACTCTTTGCAATTTAATATGGTTCAAGAGCAAAGAAATTATGGAACAAAAAAATTGTTTAGTGACACGTTTAAATTCTTGGGACAAACATTTCACACGTATGAAATAACAGTGTTTCCTTATTGCTTCATCATGAAGGGTCACCATTAATAATGGACCATGTTTACTTACAAAAGTGTCAGAGTCACGTCTTTTCACTCGTCTGGACAGTTATCTGGGGAAAAACAAAATGAAAGAAATAAAAGAGGCACCAATTACTAACATTCCCCAGTATTTCGAAGGCTTCTTTCTTTCGTTTTTTAAGTAACTGATCTTAAAAGAAATTACTTGTGGAAGAAGAAATTTTGATTAAGCTGATTTGTTTCCTGATATTTACACACAAGGTGAAAGGCATTGCCAGGGAAAAAAGTATAATTCCGTTACCATTATGGATGAAATCCAGGATATTTTCTTCTGGAATCCCATTTTGTATCACTGCGTTTTTGAACTCCTCTTCCCATTGCGGATCAACATTATCTCCTTTGCCTGTAAAATCACCGTGCAAAAAGGAAAATTGTTGACCCCTGGGAACCCACGGATATTCCTGAATTCTGCCGCTGCTGCTGCTAAGTCGCTTCAGCTGTGTCTGACTCTGTGCCACCCTATAGACGGCAGCCCACCAGGCTCTGCCATCCCTGGGATTCTCCAGGCAAGAACACTGGAGTGGGTTGCCATTTCCTTCTCCAATGCATGAAAGTGAAAAGCGAAAGCGAATTCGCTCAGTTGTGTCCGACACTTCGCAACCCCATGGACTACAGCCTACCAGGCTCCTCCATCCATGGGATTTTCCAGGCAAGCGTAGTGGAGTGGGGTTCCATTGCCTTCTCTGATTCCTGAATCTACAGAACAGGAAATGGAATGTGCCAATCAGATGTTCACTTGCATAATCTAAGAGATTAAAATGGTTTCCATGACACAGACATGTGCTTTCTGTCTTAAGAATTGACCCCAGTCCAACTTGGTGAGTAGGACACCCTACCCCTCAGCATCAGAAGCTGGACTGCCAAAATTTGCCAGGATCTCCATGACTCTGGGGTTCAGTTGATCCTAATATGGAACCAACCTACTTGCTTCTCACACCCTTCTCGTATATGTACGTGCGACTCATATCTGTTTCTAGACCCAGTTTAATAGGAAACACCTTTCTCCCCTTCCACGGACACATTCACCACTTTGCATATGACAGGGGGTGATTTACTCTTTCATGAACCTACCACTCTACCCGATAACCTTTTCTGAAGTAGACCCCTGTTGTCTCCATGGCACACACCTCTCAGTGCTTCTGCGTGGTTACTTGAGGGAGTGATGTCAGTGTTCATAAGAACAATGCATTTGAATCATGGAACAGGAGAAAGATTTATCTTACAAGTGTCTGTTCCAAGGCTTACAGTGCATCAGAAAACTGATATCGTACACTAACACATACAAATGCAATCTGCATACATCTGGAATCTAGAAAGATGGTACTGATAATGAACCTATTTGCAGGGCATCAGTGGAAAAAGAGTCACAGAGAACAGACTTATGGACATGAGGAGAGGAGAGGAGACAGTGAGACATACAGAGAGAGTAACATGGAAACTTAGATGACCATATGTAAAATAGATAGCCAACGGGCATTTGCTGTGTGTCTCAGGGAACTCAAACAGGGGCTCTGTATCAACGTTGAGGGGTGGGAAGGAGATGGGAGGGAGTTTCAAAAGGGAGAGGACATATGTATACCTATGAACTTCCCTTGCAGCTCTGCAAGTAAAGAACCCTCCTGCAATGTGGGAGACCTGGGTTTGACCTCTGGGTTGGAAGATTGCTTGGAGAAGGGAAAGTCTACCCACTCTGGTATTCTGGCCTGGAGAATTCCAGTTGCAAAGAGTCAGACACGACTGAGCAGCTTTCACACAAGCATATGTATACCTATGGCTGATTCATGTTGATGTTTGACAGAAAACAACACAATTCGATAAAGCAGTGATCCTTCAATTAAAAAATAAATAAAAATATAAAAATGAAATAAATTCAGCCTGATTATACCCATGGCTTGATATTAGTTGACATGTTTTTTAAAAAAAAGATTCTAGTAAAACTTCATTTTTAACATGTCAACAGATAGGAATCATTTTGAAATGTCTGATGATGTGATATTCTGCACCCTATGACTTCCTGTTTCTTGGTAGTTTACCTTCCAGGATCCTTAATTCAGTGAGCATAAAGATGCAGGCCTTGCACGCTGAATACTGAATACTGTCAGCGCCTCCTGATATTCTGAGAAAGTCCTGACAGTGGACATGTAACATTACCATGTCAGTGGGAATTTTACGATGTCATACCTACCAAATAATCCCACCAGTTTTGTCTCCTTGCCATGTCCATCCACATTGACAGTGTGTGTTACGAGAGCATTCTCGCCCCCATTAATGAGGCTAAATTCATTGTGACCCGCATCTGTGTGAGAGAGAAAAGATACAAACAGTCCCACCTTAACTTATTGTCAGTGAGATTGCTGTCGCACAGGGCGGCCGTGAAGAACGGCCCATCGTGTATGGACCCACTCACATCATGCATGCACAGAGTGCTCCCTTTACCCACGCCAAGGAAAGGAGGCACGACTTTTCCCCATCCCCACCCTTTCCTACAATGAACCAGTCACTCCTTGCTGTCTTACCAAGATGCTTTCTAGAACGTGTATTCTAATGGACCCCACAGATTTTTTTCTGCTTTGTTTTTTGACTTGCTGAGTCTTTGTTGCTGCCCATGGGCTTTCTCTCCTTGTGGTGACTGTGGAGTAGAGTCTAGTTGCGACACATGGACTTCTCATTGCAGTGGCTTCTCTTGTTGCTGAGCACAGGATCTAGGGTGCGTGGCTTTCAGTAGTTGCAACTCGGGCTCTAGAGTGCAGGCACAGTAGTTGTGGTGCATGAGCTTAGATATCACATGGCATGCGGGATTTTCTCAGACTGGGGATCAAACCTATGTCTCCTGCCCTGGCAGGCAGAATTCTTATCCCCTGACCACCAGGGAAGTTCCTGAGAGTGTTTTAAAACATCGTAAGTGTGTTATCAAATACAGGTTCTAAAGTTCTTTGTATTTCTCTTACCCCAGCCATGAAATTGGTTTCTCTTGATAAAAATCAACCTACCTTGTGTTCATTACCTTCTGTTCATGAGTTCCTACGTCAGGCCAGGCAACATTTTGAGTTTTGTGTTTCCCAAGCCCCTCAGTCTGGGGTATGACATAGCCCACTGCCATGTCTGTTGGTGTGAAGACAGTTTACTTGCTGGGACGTGTAGGCAGTGACCACCTAGAGGTGACCTCCTTCCCCGCCTGGCGCTCTGCCCCTCCTCTCTGCTCTGCCCATCCACTCTGCCCCATTGTCTGGACAAGAAGCATCTCTGACCTACTGTGTGTCCCCTCTACACCCTCTATGTCCATCCTCTCTCTCCTGGCCTCCATCTCACCTTCCTGCAATTACTCAGCAACATGAAATGTAAAACTGCCCATCTCTGTTCCTGAAGCATGAAAACACCACTGCTCCGTGTCTGAAACACTGAAAATTATTAGCGTGCTTGAAAGAAGAAAAAAGCAGCCAGAGCAGCTGTGGAGTCTCAGAGTCCTGACAAGAATATGCAATTTTCCCAAGGCCACGCCGAGTCCACCAGCCTCGCTCATGTTATGACAGCTTAATTCAGACTATGCATGTCCTCAGATTATCAGTGACCACCTGTGGTTCACTGTGGCTTCACCAAGGTGGGCATAGCAGCATCACTGAATTGACTGTGATGTTCATGAATGGATGGGCCAGTGAGAGTAAACCTATCTTCTGGCTGTGACACACCATCAAGGCCACTGCTGGTTCTGGGCCTGATGTGGGGACACCTCACAGTCCCCAAGACAAACCTGAAGGCTGCAGTGGCTGGTCCCCAAGAGACCTTCCAAGAAGTCTTGCACTTCTGTTGTCTCTCTTGTTTAGTCACTGTGTAAAAAGCTAAAGCAGATTGCAAAAATGGAGAAGAGTAAAGACAGTGGAAGCATTCATGATTCGGCAAAAGGAAATCATACAATGGGAATAAGAAAATGAAAGCATAATTTAGAAAACATCAAATATTAGAAGTTATCAATGAAAGTATGGGGAAAATATTTTAGGCATTGATTTTACTGATTTGAGCTCATCGCATAGGCACTGTGCTGCTACTTAGTTTGGGCAAGGGTTGTGATCACATATTGATATGTTTAAATTTTTATCAAATATGTTCCTCTTAGGCCATGTAAAAATAATAATGTTATTTAGGGCCGTTATAAAAAGCTCAGAGATACAAAGCTGAGCCAGCATCCCCATTGCTTTAAATAGAAGCTGCCTTTATGGTTGAACTCAAGATGATTTCCTTGAGTTCAAGTTCACCCATCTCAGCTTGGATGACCAAAGACATGTTAAGATTGTTTTTAAAAAGTGAATGTCACTGATGTGCAAACTCAAGATAGACCCCTAAGACCTCAGTTCATAAGCCTGTTGTCAATTATCTGTGAGAACCCTACAAAATACAAATTCTACACTCATGCTTAGTCACATTGTTCTTGTTGATATTTAACCACTATGTCATGTCTGACTCTCCATGACCCCATGAAGTGTACCACATCAAGTTCCTCTGTCCTCTACAGTCTTCCAGAGTTTGCTCAAATTCATGTCCATTGAGTCGGTGATGCCATCCAACCGTCTCATCCTCTGTCGTCCCCTTCTCCTCCTGCCTTCAGTCTTCCCCAGTATCAAGGTCTTTTCCAGTGAGTCAAATCTTTGCATTAGGTGGCCAATGTCCTGAGACTTCAGCATCAGTCCTTCCAGTGAATATTCTTGGTTGATCTCCTTTAGGATTGATTGGTTTGATCTCCCAGCTGTCCAAGGGACTCTCAAGAGGCTTCTCCAGCACCACAATTCTAAAGCATCAATTCTTTGGTGCTCAGCCTTCTTTATGGTCCAACTCTCAAACACATACAAAACTATTGAATAAAAGCATACTGTTGACTCTACAGACCTTTGTTGGCAAAGTGATGTCTCTGCATTTTAATATGCTGTCTTGGTTGTCATAGCTTTCCTTCTAAGGAGCATGCATCTTTCAATTAGGTGATTGCAGTCACAATCTGCAGAGATTTTGGAGCCCAAGAAATAAAATCTGTCACCGCTTCCACTCTTTCCCCTTTCTATTTGCCATAAAGTGAGGGGAACCAATGTCATGACCTTAGAGTTTTTGAATGTTGAGTTTCAGACCAGCATTTTCAGTCTCCTCTTGCACCGTCATCAAGAAACTCTTTAGTTCCTCTTCACTTTCTTCCATTAAAGGGGTATCATCTGCATATCTGAGGCTGTTGATATTTCTGGTAACAATCTTGATTCCAGCTTGTAATTCATCCAACCTGGCATTTAGCATGATGTACTCTGCATATAAGTTATATAAGCAGCATGACAGCACATACTAACTTGTTGTACTCTTCTCCCAGTTTTGAACCAACCTGTTCTTCCACATCTCACCATTGCTGACTGATCAACATACAGGTTTGTCAAGAAACAGGTAATCTGGTACTCCCATATCTTTTTTTTTTTTTTCCATTTATTTTTATTAGTTGGAGGCTAATTACTTTACAACATTGCAGTGGTTTTTGTCATACATTGAAATGAATTAGCCATGGATTTACATGTATTCCCCATCCCGGTCCCCCCTCCCACCTCCCTCTCCGCCCCATCCCTCTGGGTCTTCCCAGTGCACCAGGCCCGAGCACTTGTCTCATGCATCCAACCTAGGCTGGTGATCTGTTTCACCCTAGATATACATGTTTCAATGCTGTTCTCTTGAAACATCCCACTCTCACCTTCTCCCACAGAGTCCACAAGTCTGTTCTATACATCTGAGTCTCTTTTTCTTTTTTTGCATATAGGGTTATCGTTACCATCTTTCTAAATTCCATATATATGTGTTAGTATACTGTAATGGTCTTTATCTTTCTGGCTTACTTCGCTTTGTATAATGGGCTCCAGTTTCATCCATCTCATTAGAACTGATTCAAATGAATTCTTTTTAATGGCTGAGTAATATTCCATGGTGTATATGTACCACAGCTTCCTCATCCATTCGTCTGCTGATGGGCATCTAGGTTGCTTCCATGTCCTGCCTATTATAAACAGTGCTGCGATGAACATTGGGGTGCACGTGTCTCTTTCAGATCTGGTTTCTTCAGTGTGTATGCCTAGAAGTGGTATTGCTGGGTCATATGGCAGTTCTATTTCCAGCTTTTTAAGGAATCTCCACACTATTTTCCATAGTGGCTGTACTAGTTTGCATTCCCACCAACAGTGTAAAAGGGTTCCCTTTTCTCCACACCCTCTCCAGCATTTATTGCTTGTAGAATTTTGGATAGCAGCCATCCTGACTGGCGTGTAATTGTACCTCATTGTGGTTTTGATTTGCATTTCTCTAATAATGAGTGATGTTGAGCATCTTTTCATGTGTTTTTTTGCCATCCGTATGTCTTCCTTGGAGAAATGTCTGTTTAGTTCTTTGGCCCATTTTTTGATTGGGTCATTTATTTTTCTGGAATTGAGCTGCAGGAGTTGCTTGTATATTTTTACATATCTTTAAAAATTTTACAAAATGTGTTGTGATCCACACACTCAAAAGCTTTAGCATAGTCAATGAAGCGGGGGGAAAAACAATTTGTTTTTTGTTTCTGGAATTGCCTCTCTTTCTCAATGATCCACTGAAAGTTGACAATTTGATCTGGTTCATCTGCCTTTTCTAAATCAAGCCTATACTTCTGGAAGTTCTCAGATCACTTACCACTGAATTCTAGCTTGAAGGATTTTGAGCACTACCTTGCTCGCATGTGAATTGAGCACAAAGTGCAGTAGTTTGAACATTCCTTGTCATTGACCTTCTTTGAGATTGAAATGGAAACTGACCTTTTCCAGTTCTGTGGCCTCTGCGGAGTTTTCCAAAGTTGCTGACACATTGCTTGCAGCCCTTTAACAGCATCATCTTTTAGGATTTTAAAGAGTACAGCTTGAATTCTGTCACCTCTACTAGTGTTGTTCATATAATGCTTCCTAAGTCCTGCTTAACTTCACACTCTAGGATATCTGGATCTGGTCTCATTGATTAACACTCTGTTGAGGGGAGACGATCCAATTCCTGACCTCTGATTTTTAGTAGGAGTAGAATTCAGGTGTATGGGGTTATTGAAGGAAGTTGAGACCAAGATTTCTACCTGAACATACTCTTCCCAGTAAAACATTCATACTTACAGTCAATAGCATAAAAGTTTTCTTCCTTTATGCCTGAGACATATTTTTCTATGCATTCTCCATTCTTCCTGAAAAACAAAATATTTTCAAGTTGGTTGATTAAAATAATAAAAATTTGATGTATAATTAAGATTCTTTCTTTGTGTCACTCAAGAAAATATGTCAGGTATCACCTCAGTGCTGTTGAACATTTGACCTTCAAAAGAGAGAAAATATGCTGTCTCAGATCCAGTAACTATCAAGTGGCAAAGATGGTTTGTCTCCACATGAAGTCTGACTAGTAGTTCTAAAGATAACCTGCAGATACACAGCAGGTCGTGTGTAAAGTCAATAAACACAGAGAAATCTATAATTTTAGGAAAAAAGAAAAAGAATCAACTTTTCCTTTATATAGTCTCTGAAAACTGAGGGACACAGCAATCATGACAAACCTTGTCGGTTGTCACAACCATGGCAGTGATTCATTAAGACAATGAAAATGTAAGTGTTATTCACTCAGTTGTGTCCAACTCTTGCCACGCCATGGACTGTAGCCTGCCAGGCCCCTCCACTGCCTATGGGATTCTCCAGGCAAGAATACCGGAGTGGGTGGCCATTTCCTCCTCCAGGGGATCTTCCCGACCCAGTGATCTAACTCATGGCACGTGCATTGGCAGGGGCCTAGGACGGGACTTGGGAAAGTCACTAGGGGCTCTGACGGCTTTGGGAAACTCAGTGGTGATGAGACATCAAGGGAGGAAGCCCCGAGGGCAGAGCTTACTGCGTGCCCTCCCCGGGCTCTCACTTCTGGGCTCAGCGGGAATCATCTCTTACAAATCCACAGGAAGGGTTCAAGCCCTGGTGGGGACTGTGGGCTCAAGGACATGAGCGTCTTCCCTCTGCCATGTCCCTCTCTCCTTTAATGCGTTGATGCCAGTGGAGTTTCTGGGTTCCCCCTCTAAGCAGAATTTTCAGGACCTTCCCTGGAGGCTCACAGAGGAACTGCCCTCCCCCCAGCTCAGAGACCCTGCTCAGCCCCACAGCTCAGGGTGTCTTCCTCTCAACATCTCCCAGAGAGCTCCCTGCAGACGGGGAGCAGACACCCTCCCTTAGGCTGGGGTTTACAGGTGTTTTCCTTCTGTTTTTTTTTTTTTTTTTTTTTTTTTTACTTACTTGATATAAAAGTGGAAGTGCACCGTGCCATTTTCTTCATCAAACTCAATGTAACGCATGAAAATATGGAATGGCCCACCCTCGGTGATTTTCTCTATGTTTTCAGCTGCGATGTAATGGGTTAACCATCTTCCTGTGAACTGAAAGTAAAATTCCCTTTAGAAATCTTATTCCATCTCTCTAATTCTGCCCAACATCATCCCTCAGGAGTTTCCCTGCCCTTTCTCTTGAGCAGAAGTTACCTTTCTTTATGAACACAGCCCTGGGTATAAAATCATGTGAAAACTCAAGTCAAGTAAAGGAAAGAATAGAGAAATTACTGAGATAGCTTGAGCTGTCTTGTCAAACACAAGAGCCCTAGTCTAACAGCTATGTGTTGTTCCTTCAGTTTTACAAGAGCGGTGAACATGCATGAGAGCCAAAGAACAGATGGTAGAGATGATACGGACATCACAACAGCAGGTATAGAGCCAATGAAACGGAGCAATTTTGAGTTGCAGGGAGATGCCTAGACTTAGCGATCCACATGACTGGACCTCGAAAGGGACACGCACATTGATACACGTCAAGACCTCCTCCCAAGCTCAGGAGACGTTCAATTGCCCCTGGTACCTGTGAGGCGTCTATCTGAGCTTCACCTTGACTGGCAACAAGCAGACCAAGGACAAGACCGAACAGCAGAACCTTCATCTTGTTGACTCTCGTGTTCCTTCGGTAGAAGCTGAGGGTGTCCAAGGGGTTGGAGAGGATGCAAAATTGCTGCCACTTTTATATCTTGCATCTGTTGGCGTGACACATCATGAACCAATGGCTGTTCCTCATGTGACCAGTTACAACAGCAGGCATCTTCAGTATCCTGGTTGGCAGAGAAGATTTTCTGGCGTTCTGTCATTTTGATAATGAGATTTGTTTTAAGAGAAGCATATGTGGATGTGCGCATTTGACCTTTAAAGTAAGTGAGAAATTGCAGTACATTCAATATTGTAAGGTGACAACTATTTATTTTTCTGTTTATCATGAAATCCAAAATGAGATGAGCTGTCCAAGGTACATATCGCTCACTCCTGCTTAACATTTATTTTCTAAAAGTAAAGATTGACTGTGTGGTTTAGCCAAGGGAACACTATTTCCTAAGAAACCCTTGGAAAGACTTCTGTTATTCTGAGGTGAGGAGCAGGTCGGCACAAAGCATTTATCACGTTCTCCTGTCCCAATGTGGGCTTTTTCCTCCTAAATACTAAGAGGACGATCCATTTAAACGCCCCTTAACCTCATCTGAAGAAGGTAGCTCAGTAGTTTAGTTTCAGTGATTTCTTTTCAGACAACCTTTTACCCATTTAATCTGTAGTAGAATATTTACTCACTAACTCAGTTGTTTCTCCCAGGGAGGAAAACAGCTGGATAGCAGTTCTTGTAATTTTTAGAATTTTGAATGGAAAAAATAAATTTCCTAAGACAAAGTCACTGAAACAGTGAAAGAGTCTTTTTTTTTTTAATCAAATTTTACTTATGTTCATCTTCATTCATGGTAATTTAGCAAATAAATACATTAAAAGATTTATTTTTTTCTGAGTATAGAAATGAAGAAACAACGAAACTCAGGGTTCCTGAGTCAGCTAATTGAGAACACCTGGAGTGGTGACCCACTGCTGGCTGCTCTTGGGACGGATCAGAGCTCAGAATCCTTCATTTCAATTGAATTCAGACCTTTGAGGAAAGCTTGTCGTCTTGAGGGTGTCCTCTGCTCACATCTTCAGAGGATCGCTTCCCTTCATGTTCATGTGGACCGACAATATATCCAAGTTTTTTCTTTTTATTCTCTTTCCTTTCAGTTGCAATATCATGCTATCTCTTCTGTTCATACATTCCTCTCTATAACATCCTGTCGTATTTTCAGCTGTGAAGTCTGTGTGATAGAGGTTTTCATGTGTCAGAATATGTTGAAACCGTTTCCTCTCTTTGGTCTTTGACCCAGACATTAATTTTCTTTTCCTGTCTGTTTCTTTATCTTGGCTGCACCATGCAGCATGCAGGATCTTAGTTCTCTAACGGGAATGAAACACTTATGGGCCCTGTGCTCTGTGCAGGGGAAGTGAAGAAGTTTAATCACCGGACCACCAGAGAAGTCCCTGATTCAGATAAATTTGAGTAGTCACGTGATCCCAGCTAACACCCCTTATCATCACCCTTCCATCTCTACTTTTGTACCTCCAGCATTACCAGGTTTTCATTTTGGATGCTTACCAACATGTGTCCCCTGGGAGTGTATCCGAGGACTATCCCATCTTAGGAAGATCTTTCTAACTGCAAATCAAGGGGAGATTAAACACTAGTTCTTCTAAGAGATTATTGCAACAGTTGTAATAATCATGTTGTTTTCCATTGGTCTTAACACTCTCCTTCCCTCACTGTGTTCACAAGTCTGTTCTTTATATCTCCATCTGTGTTCCCTCCCTGCAAAGAATAGGTAGCTGCTGAGAATTTGGTGAAACACAGGGATCCCAGCCAGGTGCTTTGTGATGACCTGGGGGGGTGAGATGGGATAAGGGGAGGGGGCTCAAAAGGGAGGTAATAAATGAATAATTGTGGCTGATTTGCATTTTGTATGGCAGAAACCAAGAGAATATTGTAAAGCATTCTCCATCAATTAAAAAATAGATTAGAAAAGAAAAAATTTTCATCCTTAAGAAAATTGATGCCAAAAAAAAAAAAATCCTATTGCTTTGGACTGAAAGGACTTATATGGCCTTTAATCCCAATTCTCATTAATACTGGTCAAAATGTAGGTAATAGAGTAATAAATAAAAACAGAATGATCTTACAAAAACATTTCTTTTGTAACTCCCGCCAAATAACAATAAGCCCTACTTGGTACATCTTCCCGTTGTCTTCTTCTCAAATTTATTTGCATTTTTGTAACTGAGAAGTCTCTCTCATCCAGTTTATTAATTTTGTCTTACTTGTCTGTTTTCTCTGTAACCACTGCTTTTACATCTTAGATTGTGCAACTCCTAAGTAAACATTGCAAGGAAGCTATTGATCTTGGCCACTCAAAATTTCAGTTTCCCTCAATGATTCATGGCCAAGGTTGCAATGCAGTTAGAGTCTAAAGTTGAGACAATAAAACACAAGCCCACTATCTTAAAGAAAGTAATTGTTTATATAACTTTTATTACCAAATATGTATTTTTACATTTATTTACTTATGTACTTATTTATTTGTCTGTGTCAGGTCTTAGTTGCACAACACAAAATCTTTGTTTTGTCATAGCTTGGACCTTTAGTTATGGCACGTGGACTCTCTAGATGTGCTACTGACAGACCAGTGAATCCGAGAAAGGAGGTGAGGAAGCAAGGAATACGACTATCTTTGGACATTCCACTGAGAAGATGGCAGACTAATGTCTCAGAGTAACCATCTTGTTGGGGTCTGGATGCCAGGTTCTTTTATAGGGACAGAGGGAGAGAAGTTATGAGAAACTAAAGTGAAAAGGCAGAATAGAGAGCTAGAGACAGTGAGGAAGCAAAGTAAAAATGGTCTTCAGTCTTGCAGAACATCTCAGGATGGGCCAGCCTTTGAAATGTATGTGTTAATTTCTTCTTTTCATACCTGGGCAGGGTCAGTTTATCTCCCTGTGAGCTGAGAAAAGGCACTTTAACAGTCAGGCTGAAGGGTAGGGTCTTCTGAGGCAGGCCATTATGTATGATTATAATCACAATGGCAACAAAAAGCAAGCCAAAGAAACAGTTCCAACACGGAGTCAGCTGTGGTTCTTCTCTACAGTTCCCCGCTGTCAAAGTCCATTCCACAGTTTTGTGGAAAAAGAGGGCAGTGACCATTCTGCTTCATGAGAAGGATTGTTCTGGGAGTGTTCACCACTGGTGTCAGTGCTTCATATGTTGAGATTTTGCTTCTTGTTTTCCTCTTTGGAAAGTGTCTACTGTACACCTACTGTTAACTTCAAAATTCTGCACTTGAAATCCAGGAGAGAATAACTCAAGTTAAGGAATTGAGCACTTTTCCATGCATGGGAAGACACAAGAGTCAGGGCTCATTAAAATGACTTCCTTGATATGTACTTCACTTCTCTGAAGGCATGGGATCCTATATTCTCAGCATTTCTTTAGGGTTCACCACAGGGAGTGGCTGTAGCGTGATGATCCTAGATAGAAGATATTCTCCTTCTTCTCATCTAAACAGTTCATGTTGGAGGGCTGTGATTGTTGGGTACAATTTTCAGGCTTCCCCCTCTTGATCATGAATGTGACCAATATTTGGGAGACATTTCATGATCAACTCTTGTCCCATGGCACTGGGAGTTTCCATCCAGTTTAGGCAAAGATTCTTGATGTGCCACTCCAGGTTTTAAGTTTTGGACCAGGCCCCATCAGAAATTAAAAATTCTCTGTGGATTCTAGCTAACTAAAATCCAGGGGACATTTTCCCTTTTTGCATCTTCCCTTAGTTAGAATCACAATGTTACAAGTATGTTATGTTACACGTGTGATTTTTCTCAAGATGTTTATCCATGGAAGTGTTGTTGGAGGCCTGCTTACACTTCGGGTACTGTAAGAGGCAACAGTCCTTTAAAGTGAGACCGGGTATAAGTAATGAAGCTAGTGACACTAACAAGGACATAGTGTGGCGGAGAGACACAAATCACCATTTGAAAACAAAGAACAAATGTAAACAATGATTAGTGTAACTACTTGTAATCCAGTTGCAGTACTCAAGTGACAGGGTGGGAGGGTGGATAACCAATTTAATGAGCTACCTGCAGTTTCTTTGTACGGGCCATGCACATTTATGCATGGCTTAATCTTTGAGACTAGCGTATGTTAATGGCAGGATCAGGCAGGTAGGAAGAAAAAGATAAATGTTTCCATTTAACTCACAGAAGGAATAACTTACCAAGTTACTATCAGTCATTATTAGTTTGAGGTGTTTTTTTCTTACACCTGGCCAGCACATTTAAACCAGCAAATATTTTGGATGGAAGCCATAAAAAAATTATAACTGTGTTTGCTAGTTATTCCATCCTATGCAACTGATTCTTTATGTTAGCAGCTTTATGAAGCCATCAGGTTTCCCATTAGAATTATTTATTTATTTATTTTTACTCAGTTCAGCATTATGGCCTCAAAGTCAGCAACTTGCATGTATCCAGAGGCTTTTTTTTTTTTTTCTTTTTCTCTTTTTAAATCAATCTTCTTGAAGAGGAGGCATTTTTTCAAAGGTATCAGAGTGAAATGGTAACTATCTTTCATGACAGGGGACTTAAGGAGGCAAGTTTAAATCTGACTACAATGCAGTTGACAGAGAACCTGGTTACTGCAGTGACATACAACACTTTAAGATAGTAACTAGAAATATGACTAATATTCTACTGTTGCAGAATCCAATACTCAAGAAATCAAGCACCACACTTGGAGAGTTGGAGAATGCAGGTTTATTACACAAGCGTGCCCAGATGGGTTACCACTCCAAGCTCTGAGCCCTGAACAAAGGGTTATAGAGTTTTTACAGACAGACTGTAGTGGGCAACACTAGCTGTTAATAAGCTGGTTTATTTCTTTATTTTTTCATTTATTTTTATTAGTCAGAGGCTAATTACTTTACAATATTGTAGTGGTTTTTGTCATACATTGACATGAATCAGCCATGGATTTACATGTATTCCCCATCCCAA